TAAAGGCTATCCTAAATGTCGTGGGTCTAAAACAAGCGATTACGAAAGTCGCCTTGTATAAGCTCAAAATAATACCAAAAGTAGATTTTAGAATAATTTTATAATAAACATTGCTGTAAGAATGAAATAAAAATGTCTTTGGTGGAATGGATCGTTTACACGAGGCTTGTAGTTGAGACAGTCCAGTAAGCCAGACCAGTATTGGCATCAAGCCAGTAATTAAGCCAGTCTAATGAAATATGACGATTTCTAATTTCACTGGACTGTGTTACTGGATCCTCTCGGCTGCTTGCATCGTGTAAATGTTTCATAATTACATACTTTATGACAAGCATTATTTTTAACAGACTATCTATTTATAAATAACTCGAGTCGAAATTCAGATTGGATTATGTTATTCAAATCTCATCGAAGGAAGGTCGACGCCATTGGAAAATACCAAAATGAAATGCGAAATATGGAAAAAAATATTAAGAATGTTAATTGGTCTCCAAGCGGTGGCCTCAAGTGCCCTCTTCCTCTCGTAATCTTGTAAAAAGAAAGGTATGATTAGGACTTTCATGAAATAAGTATTTAAATAATATTAGGTACTTCAACCTGTTTCAAAATATGAGAAAAAAATCGCACATAAATCGAAAAGAGGAGCACAATGGCCTGTGATATCATTATTAAGCAACTTTCACAAGGGCAGATCATAAGATGGATGACTAAAAATTTGCTATCTCGAGCTACTTCGGAAGGCACTTGGATTTCGTCTGCACCTGCAGTCGTTGACACCCATCAAGGACACTGGGCTCGCATTGTGGGTCGTGTCACATTCTCCCTATTTGATTCGATTTCATACATGTGGAAAGGCTGACTCACAGCAATGGGGACATTAAGAGTCGAGTGAAAACTCCGATTTTTTTCGAAAGAAGTTTAAATTAAATCCAATTTTCAGCATGACACAATTTCTGTTCTGTTTAGTTACCTGAAAAAAAACAGGCCTCACCTGTGGATGAAATCTAAAAAGTGGTGCGTTTTACCACTGCAGATGCAGCCGGTACCAACAGTTTATAGTGTCTTTCAAATTATGAAGAAAAACATGATAGTAAATTTTTATTCACCCTTTGGTCAGCTTCTGCGATAATTGCTCGACCACAGCATCGAAAGAACAAACCAAATACACAGCGTTGTGACCTGTATGAACGATTCCATTTTAATGCTTAAAAAACTCTGTGACTAACGAATGCTGTTAAAACAATACAATTGAAATCTTACTCTATAAACCTGTATTAAGATTTGTGTAACTCAAACCTCCACTTGAAATGAAATAATTCGTTTGGCTCGAACAATTTGTGACAATTATCAAGCTCGTTAATCGCTCTTTCTTCATTCTGAATACGGAGTATTAATGCGTAAATAAATATGAACGAAATTTACAAGAGGCCTAATTTTTTGGGCATTGCTTTGTTTCGGTAAATGAAGCTTTATTTAAGATTTTAATTATCAAATTCGTTTTCTAAAAGATGTATCATTAAAATATGAAATGCTTTATCAGGAAGTCGTCAATTGTAAGATTTGGCCGCATGACATAGCTAATTATTTAAAACTATCTTATTTAGAGTTTTCTTAAATTTTACCTTGTTGATTACTGTTTCAAATTCTCCTGGTTTCCTATTCGTGAGTGCAAGGAATTATACACTCTTAAAAGTTTTATAATCGATACTTTTCCTACCCACTTCTCCACTTTATCTCAAACACTGTTTCTCTTCTCTTCATTATCCACAGTTTACTTAGTGATTCTTTTCAACCTCACTCTGGATATTCCTTCTTAAACTATCAATTTATTCTCCTATTGCAGTAGATTCATGGTATTTTCTTACAGAGATTTACAGGAAAACTTCCTTACAAAATGTTAAAACTGTCTACTTTAAAATGACTCTAATAAAATATGTGATGATATATCTTGTCTTGTAATTTACTTGTTTGTATCGTGTACATTAGAGAGTTTCATAATTATTATTACTTCTTTAATTCCGTTAACAGATGGGCCAACATTTAAACGTAGACCCAAAAATGTCGAAGCAGAATCCGGCTCGTTAGCAACATTGACATGTGAAGTGGACGGACACCCTGCACCCAAAATACTATGGCTCCGGTATGAAAACGACAGGGTTATAGTAAGTAATCAACAATATATCTATGACTCCTGTCTGTTGAATTAAGTCCTTGTCATAAAAAGCTAACTAAAATCAGTTTGATACTGTAGTTCTATGTTCTTAAAGTTACATAATTGATCGCAGAATTGCAACTGAAATGTAATCAAGCTCAGGCTTTCATTTATATAAAATAAGACAAGCCAAAGTCATGTTCGTCTTTTTTAATGGGAATGTAGGAGCATCAAGCATTAAGATAGCATTGATCCAAATATTTCGAATATCAAAATAATAAACCTTCTTATCTCCCTCATTGACCAGTGCTTTACTTATTTTATCAGCATGATCAACCTACAGTACCTAATATTCACTAACTTTAAATATTAGTTTTTAAATATTAGTTTTCCTTTTTGTAGAGGATGGGAAAGTCAGCGAATTTAACAGTACTAGCTACTCCTCAAACAGCAGGTCAGTACTGGTGTAGAGCAACAATTGAGCATCATCAAGATATAGAAGCACCAGCTACTATATTCGTCAGAGGTAAGATTTCTACTTAAGTTGCTCAGGAATATTGAATATGAGATTTTATAACTCTTCTCACACCTCAATTAAAATAAATCCGTAAGCAGAGAGCTTGATGACGAAAATGTACAAATGTATTGTAGCAGTTGTAACCATTATATTAAATATTAAGAGAACACACCTCAATATATATTACGAAGGTCAGTGCTGAAATACTACCATACATTTAAAAAATAAAATTTCGTAATATAATCCTTTACTATAATAATAAAAGTTTATTAAAGGCATTAGCTAGTGAAAGTGATGTTACTTCCATTATATTCTGCATTGTCATTAGTCTTTTTCGGTTATCTTTAGCTGGCTTAACTTCTCTATGTGCAGTGTTCTCTTCACTATAGGAGATCTGCTGAAATTATATATCTCATACCTCAAAATTTATTAGAGATACATGTGAACTACTTATAAAAGCGATAAAGAGTGACGCGAGGTTTCCATCTCATGTGGGGTTGTCATCTGAAAAGGTTGCAAATACAGGGACTATGAAAACCACTTATTTCAATATAGGTTAATATTTTCTAGCTTTGTCGGTTTGAAGTAATAGCTGTGACGTCATTGAACCTTCGACCGATGTTTCTGTATAACATGTGGGTCTTAGGGACAGAAGAAAAGTCACTTTTATTGTTATCCCATTTCAAAGTTTTAGTATCCATACCCATACACATAAGTTTTGCTACATTTTCTGCTATTGTATTTCATCTGGTTTTCTTAGGAGCCAATTGAAAATCAGCGTCAGGTTCTTAGGGCTGACTAAAAGCTGTTTTAGTTTTCTTGTTAATGCAGTCGATACTTAATGTTGACTTTTTTTTATGTATTACCTTTGCAAATTTTTTAAGATTGTAGATTTTAAACTAAACTTAAGTAAACTTTTTTTGTTGCATGATCGTTTAAAATAAAATATATTTTTCCAATTTTTACTTTGAATATATTTTAAAATGTAAAGTTTATAATGAAATACCTTTAAGGCATTTTTGGAGTTTCTCTTTACTCTACTTTATGTTAAGAAAAACCTAAAAAACCTAGGCGCCTGGTAACCCTAATCCAATGACAACTCGTTAACTAAAAGTCAGGTGGGTTGCCTTGTTCGCAAGGTCATTTCCGTCCGCTGTTTGAAACTATGCGATGAATTGTCAGGAGCCGGGAACACTACTCGAGAAATTCTTAAGCGGAAGTAATTGACAGTGGTGGAACTTAAATTATACTATATGTAATTGGCAATTTCTGTGAATGACTTTGAACACTTACGACATATTTAGACATGTAGCAATAAGTCCAGCCAAGTTCAATGATAATGAGAAAGAGAACAAGGTTTGTACCTACTCTTAAAATCGATCCGTTTTTTCATCGATATTTTGAAAAGTAAGGAAGGTCATGATGATATCATATATACACATTTTAAGACTGCGTGCCCAGGCGAGGCGATACAGTAGCCGTGTATCATGTCAAGTTTTTGAGCATTCAGGATTTTTAATCCCCCCCCCCCCTCCTGTCATCTATTTATCTATATTAATTCTACAAAATATTGCTCAAATGTCACAGTTCGTCGACCCCCCCCCCCCTCTCCTTCTAAAGTGTGACGTAATTCATGGAAGGCCCCTATTTTAGTTTTTAAAACAAACCTAATAAATTTTATCATCCGTAATCTAAATTTGCATAGTAATATAATGTAGTTAGGTCAGTAATAATACCGTCGTCCTACACATTTATTGATAATATTGGTATTAACTGTATAAATCGGTGGCGTAGTGAATAAGCGCCGCGGCCCGCGATCGTTGTTGTTAAGCAACTTTCGCAAGGGTCGGTCACGGGATGGGTGACCAAAAAATTATTATCTCGGGCTACTTCGTACCTCGGAAGGCACGATAAGCCGTTGGTCTGTTAATACCCTCCAATACTCATTGAGCCAGCGTGGAGGATTATGGCCCATCCTCCTTAACCATACATAAGGAAGACCTGAACACCTGCAGTGAGGACGTAAAAGGGCTGAAGATGATGATGATGATGTATAAATTAAATCAGTAGATTGGTACAAATTCATTATTAGCGATTATCTTTGTTAGAAGTTATTACCAGAAAATGGGAGTTGATCACTCTAAAACTGCAATATTTTTAACATCAAGAATAAAATTTTATAATACACCGCTATATTATTTAAATATAAAAATAATTCTAGGAAAACCTGTATTGTCATAAAATAATGTCAGTTACCCATCTTGAGTGACCATTTCAACAGTAGTTTAACATTTCGAAACGACAAATGTAAACTCGGAATTATATTAAACAATGCCAGGTGACTCAGCAGAGACGGCTATTTGAAAACTAATTGTTGGTAACTAACAACTTGAGCAAACTTGTAATTACTTTCAAGTTGGGACATTACAAGTATTATGGTCTATAGATGGCATAAATGACCTTGTTATATACATCTTGTTAAGATTTATATAACACTCATCACTTAATGTCATATACATCTTGTTAAGATTTATATAACACTCATCACTTGCCGCGGCTTTGCACGAGCTCAATTCACTTGAACCTATATCTATAACCCTACCTAATCTACTAAGCTCATCATCAACATGTTTTTGTCCGTCATCTCAATCATTTCAATCAATTAATTTACACAAAGCCTTAACACAAAAACTTTCCTCGTAAATGACTCCACTTATTGGTGACAGCCGAATTTGAAATTGAATATCTCGGGATTACCTTTGCTATTTTCTTAAAAATACAGAATTAAATATAGCGCTATTCCAGTATTAGATGTTAGATTAAATAAAACCTCGTTAAAGGGTAATTAAGCTTATAAGAACTACAGCGACGAACTAGCAGTGCACATAAATATATAGGCAGATATAGTGACAATTCTTTAGTTTATATATTTATTTAAGACAGTGTTTTACAACCTTTTTCTTGATGCGACCCCCCCAGGTGTAAAAAATATTTCGCGACCCCCCTACCTTTAGTTTTTTATAATGTATTTATGTGTACGTTACACTGTAACGGTTACTTACAGTATTATAAATATTCATTCCATACGCATTAACAAGACTCAACCTTCGCATTAACAAGAGTCTTAGAATTTATTTTTTGTTAATTTGTTTGTATTAACATACAAATATTTATGAGTATATCCTTTTGTTAAAATTTTCTTACATTTTTTATAAATCAATCTTTTTAATCTTTATTGTTTTTTACTGAAGTTCTCTCGAACTATGGCAACCCCCACACAAAAGCTCTGCGACCCCCGGGGTCGCGACCCACAGATTGAAAAACACTGATTTAAGACTGAGAAATAGGCCAATTAGTTAGTTGATATAACAATTAATAAGTGAAGACTAATTACTTAGGAGTCTTATTATTTTCGATTTGAATGCTCTGAAGCTGTCGCTGAAGATATCAATGAAGTGACTAAGTGCATTATAATTTCATGAAAATCTAGCTATCGCTGAATATTTTAAAAATTATAAAGATCGCCAGTTTATAAACTGTCTCGTAAGATTATAAGAGATCATAGGTGTAGGTTAAGTTAGATTAGCGTTTTTCAAAATGTGTGTTCCAAAAAGCATGTTGAGGTTCCTGAAAATCTCAGCTTTAACGAATTTTGTTCACTTTATGCTATAAACGTACAAAACTAGGAATTGTTTAATTTAAGAGCAAAGAGCAAGGCAAAATATTTTTTTTCTCAAAAGGGTTCCATCACCAATAAAGTTTGATACCCAGGTGGATCCTTGATGACTTCTTACCCATTGTGTTTCAAACGATAAGAACTGCCAAAAAAGAAAGAGAGAAAATTTATAAAACTGGAAAATAGCAAAGGAGACAGAATCTCACCCTGAGGAACACCAGCAGTCACATCATACCAACCGGAGATATCACGATCCTTACGCACAACCTGCTGGCGACCACGAAGATTATGTAATATATGTATTATAAAGTTATATATGTACTATATTATATTCTGTTTTTTTTTACGTTGTTACAGTTTTTATTTTACACCATAAGTATCCTACCTTCAAACTGCTTTCATTTACTACCAATACCTAAGACCCGAATACTTGCAAACGAATCAATCAGAAGGTTTCCCATAGGTGTTTCATCCAGATATTTTATATTACCGTTTTGTTTTAGGTCCCCCAAAAATAATATCGAATAATACACAATATGGCACAGAAGGAGACAGCGTGAGAGTAGAATGTGTCTCTTTCTCCGTTCCGAAACCAGATTTTATCATGTGGTCTTTTGAAGGGAGAGAGATCAATACGTTTCCTAATCAGGTAAGTCTTATTTCTTCATATTTTTGTTTTTAAAGCAGCCTCATAGTGTGGATACACGTTTTTACAATACATTCTATTGATTACGTCGCAAAAGTAATAATCAATTATTTGAATTTTCAAATATATTCTATTTCGGAAACAAATGAAGATGCCGATTCGAAATGCAACTCAAATAAATAACTGACAAACTGACAACCGCAGCGATAAACATTGTGTTCGTTCTAAAGAATCTTACAATGGAATATTCTATTTTCTCAGGAATACGTTTTCTTGGAAAAAACGCTAGCGGATCACATGACAAAGTCCACATTAGTGATCAGAAAGAGCGAAGCAAGACACTTCGGTAGTTACAATTGCACCGTAATAAATTCTTATGGCATGGAGACTATAGAAATAATATTGGTCGCTGACAGTAAGTTCTCGTTTTGTATGTAATTTTTATTATTATAAAGTACACTGCAGAACAATGTATGAAAAAATAGTTCCAGTCAAATATCACAAAATTTAAATATGATTTAGATTTAATTTAAATGATAATTTTCGTGAAATCACATTTTCTTCAGAGACAGACTTTCCTAAACAATCAATTTAATTATATAATATGTCTTTATCTGCAAAATATTATCAAATATCATAACTATGTTGTTTTAAGCTTTCATGGTCATAGTCATTTGTATTAGAATGACAGCTTTTTCGAGATTGCCAACATGTACCTTTTTCTTTATAATATAATATCATGAACTCAATAAAAACAAGGTACATGGTAACAATCCCGTAGAAAATTATCATTCTATAATATCATACTCTTTGTTATTCACCATCAATATTATACACGTACAAAAAATTCCTGGTAACCTATAAAATGTGTAACGTCATCTTTTAGGAACTTGTCCATCGACAAGGCTCTTTGTTCTCATAATATCACATAAGGAAAATATTATATTCTCGAATATTATACAAAGAACAATCACAGCGAAAATTGTTTCTAATTTGAGGGATAAATAACTGATAACATCACATACATTGTTCTGATACCTGTGTCTGATACCGTGCGATGTAGCTTATGCATTAGTGTTACAGAAATTAGACACAACTGTGGAATAACAATTATAATATATATTTTCATAAAATCTAAAGTATTTATATTTGACCAATATAAATAAACAAACAAATAAGGCAAGCTAAATAAAACCGTTTAAAAATATGTGAATATATCACACCTATACACTGAACAGATACCTACAAATATTCATCACATAAACATTTGTTCCGGGTGGAAATCGAACCCAAGACCTATTTTAAAGGCATACCTACCTTCTGTAAAATAAATCTTACTAATGATTTTATACCACCCAGTAGCTAATATCTGATGATTTGAATTACAATAATATGTGCATGTGCCCAGATAAAAAAAGATCTTTAAAGTATATCTAAGATGATAGAAAAATTAATTGCATTATCACAGATTGGATAAACAATCCAACAAAATCTAAACAATGAAATGCTTAAATATGTTAGCGGCGCTATATAAGCTCCCATAAATTTTATATTATGTATATCTGTACCAATCGTAGTGCTTATGATAATGAAAATAATCTAGCAATACTGTATGATACTGCAATTAATTTTTATTTTAATATTGTATGACGTTCGAAAATGCTTCCATGATGCCTATTCGAATAAAGAGATTTTGATCTAAATAAATTAATTTTTATTTTAAACTGTGTTTGATTGTACTTGTAATGTTTTGAGAATATAATCATTAGAGAATTTAATTTTTTGCTAATATAATATTATGAGAATAAAGGGATAAAGCTTAGCACTCCTTTAAGTCATCTTGCCTTTTTGATACTTTGTCTCTACTTCACTAAGTAAACACATAATTAATTTTTCCATACATTGCTTTGCGGGGTAAGTACTTTCATAAATGAAACAACTTTTAAACTGTTTCATCGCGTCTGTATTTAGTTTGTATTGAGTTTTTAGTTTGTAATTAGTTTAAAGCGATGAAATCGTTTAGAAAGTTCTTTCATTTATGGATAGTGCGCGTGAAAATATAAGAAATCAATAAGTACTTTCTTTTTAAATTTAGTAAGTATGGTTTAATTTGATGTCTATGTTTTACCCGACCGTAAAGGAAGGATTATATATTTTTCGGGGATATCTCGTATGCATGTATGTATATTCTTTATTACCTCATATCTTCAGAACCGCTGAACGGATTTAGATTATTGAGATATCGTTAGAATTGTCTTAGTAGCAAGTGTTCTTATATAGGTAACGTTAAAAAAAAAACAAATATGGCGGCTGAGTGATGCGTTTATTAAAAGATATTTTTTTTCAAATACTACAATATGAGTATCACATTACAAGGATTCCAAAAAGTGATGTCATGGTTATCATTACTGTAATACTAATTAAATTAATACAATGATAAAGATTAAAAATATGGACTTTGTCCTTTCACTTTCTGAACCAGCCTGATAATTTTTCTAAGAAACATAAATAAAATTATAATTTTATAAAAAAAAGCTGCCTGCATGAAAAACAAGACAAAGGGTTTAGCCGGATACGTATGACGAGTCGGCCCCCAAATGGGAATCGATATTGAAACTTATGTTTTAATATCGACTTGATGTTCAAACGCGATTTATGTACTTTTCGCGACCGACTTCCGCTTTGACCTTGAGATAGAGAGCAAAATATCCGTATGCTTGACTATTACTGAATGTGATATATCTCTAAAGCTAATTAAGATAAAGAAGTGAAACTAACGCGAGGTGTTAGGTTACATTACAGAGTATATCACATATATTTTTTTATAATTTTTAGAATAAAAAATTACATGAAAAAAATAAAAAATAAAAAAATCATGTTTTTTTTTCTAAGTTCTCTGTGACTTACAATCACGAAATTAATATATGTTATGCTCCTTTGTGTGCTCTATTACCCATAAAAATTGCGTGAAAAAAAAGTTGGTGCAACACAACGAAAAAAAATTATATGTGATTTCTGTCTTATGGTATACCCCTGTATTATAAGGTTTTCACATCACATCATTGTTTTTTTTCTCGAAATTTCACATCAGATTGATTTAAAACATAAGTAAATGGTCTTAAGAGATGGCATAATAGTTAAAAAAGAAATGAAAAAAAAAACAGCCAGTGTTCAATACTTATTATTATTACTTTTTCGTGTCTATCAAAATACAAGAAACAAAATATTAATCGTCGTCACTGTTGTAATTAATTACAATCGGAACACTTTGAGTCGCAAATAACTTAGTTAGGACAGCAATATCATCCATATGATAGATAATAAATAATAGCTGCTACATGAGAACAGCATCCCACTGTACGTTCGCCATTGGGGCAATCACAGCAATAACGAAAAATACTATTGTAGTCATTACCTACCTTCGGAAATATAGTGAATGTAAATTCGATAGACTTTTCTATTTATATGTCTTGATTTTACTTCTGCTTTGATGATATTAGGTGCTGATTTCACATATTGTACTGAGAGATTATTTTGATCGTCCATTATTTCGGCCAAGTTAAATGCTGCACATTTAGAAGTAGAAGCTTTTTTGTTAATATATGGGATAAGTCAACACTTCTTACAAAAAATATCATTAACTATTACGATTTTATTTAAACAGTCACTAAACACTTTAACTTCTTCTTCATTCTTTATAATTTTTTTATAACCAGGAATCTTACACAGGTACTTGTTACAATTTTTACACTTTCTCGACATTATTACTTAATAATGATTTGGTTCGATAATTAATAATTTCAAAATGCTGACACAAAATACCTATGACAGAATTTGAGTCCCAAACTGCCTTCTTGTGTAATACAAATGACTGCGACTTTAGCTAAACAAACGATGCAGTAAACAGCGCGATAACAAGTTCGAACTTGTTTGTTTATACACTCACACTACAAGGCGCGAATCACATATAATTTTTTTTCGTTGTGTTGCACCAACTTTTTTTTTCACGCAATTTTTATGGCTGATAGAGTACACAAAGGAGCATAACATATATCAATTTCGTGATTGTAAGTCACAGACAACTCAGAAAAAAAAAACATGATTTTTTTATTTTTTACTTTTTTAATGTAATTTTTTATTCTAAAAATTATAAAAAAATATATGTGATATACTCTGTAATGTAACCTAACACCTCGCGTTAGTTTCACTTCTTTATCTTAATTAGCTTCAGAGATATATCACATTCAGTAATGGTCAAGCATACGGATATTTTACTCTCTATCTCAAGGTCAAAGCGGAAGTCGGTCGCGAAAAGTACATAAATCGTGTTTGAACATCAAGTCTATATTAAAACATAAGTTTCAATATCGATTCCCATTTGGGGGCCGACTCGTCATACGTATCCGGCTAAACCCTTTATGCAACATCATACATAATATGCAGTCGGAGCTATGCACAACTTCATGCCTCCCAAGAGCATGTGGTGTATGATGTTGCATATTTTTTTTTATCTTGTTCTAGCCTTTTCAGTTAGTTGTTTTTCGCGTAGGCGAGTTTTTTTTATAACGTACTTCTGCCATTTTTTGTATCAATATTATGTGGGGAATGAATTCCTCATGCCCTTATTCCAACCCGAGTAGTTCTGGTACCTTAAGTATTTTCGATCTCCTTGACACAATCGCTTTATAACCACCGTCAGTCAAAATATTTTGTGTACTGTGATACCAATTTTTTTTTTCAGAAACCAACTCTTTGATATTTATAGTTTCTGGATTATCGTCAGCGGCTATATTAGTCCTTGTCGTAATGTTAGTAGTGATGCTGTGCTATAGAAGAGCAAAATGTGGTGACATCAAAAAACCCGATGTCACAGATATTAGTAAAACTTGTGTAGACCAGTTTAAGGACACCGATGGGCATTCTAATATTAGCGATCTAAAGTTGGAGCTGAGGCAGGTAGAGGAAAGTTGTGATATGGTAAGTGTTTTCGTTTTAATTTCCTCTAGGGGTACCGTCTAGTTTTCTTCGGCTTCTTCTAATGATTAAGGGTCTTCTAGGAATCTCCACGTTTTATTTAGATAAACTAGATATTAAAAAATAGAAAGTTTGACAAGCATATCTGGAGCAATCAAACATTGTAGTATTATATACCCGTTATTCAATATATGTAACATATCTGTTAATTGTGAAAAATGTAGATATCGTGGAATATATTAATGATTCCTTTTAAGGATATATCGAATGGAGGATCGGAAGCCGATTTGCATCCAACGTTACATCTGACATCGAACCTTGGACTGCCATTAGCTGGTCCGGTGTCGATGCCAGAAGGATATGAGAATGAACTAATGAAACAATACCAACGGTATAGCGGTGATTTTAATCAAGCAATTAACAGTTTACAATTGAAAGTGAGTAGAATATTTTATATATGCAAACCTAAACGAGTTAATATTACTAAATTCACATTAATAGATATTTGCATCTGAAATCGAAAGTGGAAAATATTTCAGCTACGAAATGTGTGTTTATAAAAATTGCTATAAATTTTATCCAGGATTGTTATTACACACATTATTTAAACGTGTAATATAAACTTTAATCTTGTAACAAACCTCTTGACTTTTGAACGCTTGAAATAATATCTATTGTATTTTATTAAGCAGAGAAAAGTATACTTTTCTGAATTTTTAACGCCGCTGAGAAAAGTTTTGTATTTAAAAATGTATGTGTATGTAGTTTCTTATAATATATAATTCTAATGTTATTAATCTTATAACTTAAGTAACGATTTTTTGTTCAATCCCAATTTATAATTCAAATAATTGATTGGCGTATTTTTTTGTTATCTTAATTATATGATTATATAATTGATCTCGTCGAATCTCATTACAATCAATCTAAATTGATTTCACTGTAACTCATGTTGTCTTATCGTAATTTGATTTGGTCTTATCGTGCCTCTATCCTTTAACTTTACATTATCTTGTTTGTCAATTGCACGTTATTTTGTCGTCACAGGCACAAGGGCAGAGCAATGGTTATATACCTTATGTGGACTACAGTAGAGACTATGCTCCACCGCTACCCTCCAATGACTCATTGACTGGCTCTCTAACCAGAAGTACTGAGGGATCATACCCTATTCAATATGGATCGCTTCATAGACAAAGTAGTTGCGGCAGATTACCTGGTGTAGGGCCCGATGGTAAGTCAGTATAATACTAGATTCCTCCAGTATCTTTGAATATTAATAACATTATTAAAGTTGGCAAATGGCACACTCTTCGTTTGCTCTTTTCAAAAAAATATCCCAGCCTCTAACATGATTCGCTCAAACAGCTATAAATTATGTTTTGTACGCAATTCATGCGAGTTACGCATTCAACGTTAGCGAAAAGGTTATAGGACGTCTGGGTTGCAGTCTCAACAGAGTTTGCGATCACAATCTTACCGAATTCGGTCGCTAACTCAAGCGATCGTAAGTTAACGATAATTGCAAGTCTCTACATTTTGGTAAATTGTTATTTATTAGGTACGCACCGAGTGCAAGTGTCAAATTAGTGCTATTCGTCCTAGCGATCGAGTTTGACAGCCCGGTCAGTGAACTCTGCGATCGCTACATAACGATCGCCACCAATGTTGAGACTGCTTGCCCTGGTGACGTTATTGTATTTTTGATATTTACTGAATGCTCATCTTTTTTAATCAAGGGCTCCTTTAAAGTTTCGCCTTTAACTTTTAGATATTTGTCTAATGCAGTATGGTTTTAAAGATTTTCACTCCCTCTCCCTTAATATGCAACAGAGTTTGAGATATTATTCGACAAACTAATAAGAGAATATCGTAAAATGAAATCAGTCTCTTATATTATAATTTCAATCGTGTCATTAACCGATACTAAAATAGTAGTTACATATAATTTAACCTCTGAAGAAAAAGTCTTGATTGCTCCTTTCCAAAAAGCTTCGTTGATTTTATATCTTTCTAAAATACAAGTTTAATCATTTTTGTATATAGATATACTTAATGTAGTGTTGAAATTATTTTTTGTTTTATATTTACTCAGTTATACCAATGGCCAATTCTGGAGTAATGTTTACTGGTGGTGTGGATGTTCGATACGCTGCGACCTATGGCAACCCCTACTTGAGAGGTAGCGCTTCTGCCGGTAAGTGCGAATTTGCTTATTCTTTTATAACAATAAATTTAATATTACTTTTATGAAATTCTATGAATAACTAGATAACTAGTGCATAATTTGAATTTCGAAAACAGCGCAAATACAGGACGCAGAGAAATTTTAAAAAAATGGTTATATTCTAAAACAAAAAAATTGGATAAAAGCCAATAAGCTGTCTGCGAGACCAACAAGGTTTAGTAGTTAACTCATGCAGATAGCGATCGTGTAAAAGTTAAGCAGCATTTTCAAAGGTTGGTTATCAGATGTGTGACTAAAATCTATCAGTGTTATTACAAAAAAGATAAACACGCGTTGAACACGTGTTTTTTGTAATAACACTGTATAAGTTTGAGTTCCTCTGTACCTCCGAAAGCACTATTAGCCGTTGGTGTCAGCCACAACTGATAAACGTTAGATTCGATTAGACGCGTTTTTCTTGTGTGATTTTGACTATTGCTGGTATTATCTGAGGCATTATGAACTTTATATCTATCATAATACTCCGTGATTATGACGTTTGCAACAGCGCCGAAATATGGGGAACTCAACAAAAACAAGGTAGCATCATGTTTTTGGCAATCATTCTGATAATACTGTACTGTGTCACTACTGGGTTAGGTCGTCCCTATAGACAGCATTCCGTAGCAACAACGAGCCAAGACCCACCAAGCGGATCAAATGTAAAAATTTGATCAAATGTATACGAGCCTTCCGAAGCACGGCGGACATGGACAATAATACATATTTAGTCACCCATCTCATGATCGGCCCTTGCGAAATTTTGCTCAACCTCCTAGTCTCGTAAAGTTTTTCCTATACTCGTTTACAATAAGTGCGTGATGTATTTTGCATGTTAATAAACACTAACCATACCAAAATGAAGCCACCATGAAAACTAGGTCATAGCGCTTATATTTAAACGGAATAATTCCGTTTAGCTCTCGCATACACAAGTGCAGTTTAAAATTCAGCCAGAACGGAACGGCTGCAGGTTAGCTGCTCTTATTTGAATACAAACTGGATGTTCTTAATTTACAAAATTAAAGTCTTCTGTAAAATTAGCACAACTGCCGACTTTTATATACAAATATATTCAACCTGTTTTGTGTATGATGAATCACTGTAATGAACGTTCTCGTTTATTTTTAAATTTTTCTTTGCTATTAATAATTATAATCTTAATTATTTGATATTCATTGTCAATAATTAACATTCCTCTTCGCATTTTTCTTGTCTACCAAGTTGATTGGTCTATAACTGCTTATATTATATTGCTATAGAAGCCTAAGCTCTATTGTAATTCTGATACTGTATAAAAATCTTACTAATATTAAAAATGTGAAAGTTTCTTTATTTGGATGTTTATCTACTATAAATTTGGTATACAGATAGGGTATAGGGGAAAGCTGACGTAGATAAAAGGATACCTGTTATTCTACTAAACATTTCTTTAGGAACCACGCGTGAGAAGCCGCTGGCGAAAGCTAGTTATAAATAGATTTGAAACCAACCCAAATATTTTTTTCTGCAGAAACAGTGTAGGCAACTATAATCTGTCTATCTTCTCAATGATTATAAAATCCCAAGTGGATATATAAACATGCTCGCTGATCTTTAAAATTTTAAACGAAATGGAACACTATTGGAAACTCGATGAGTTTCATTTCCTTATATGCCGATTGTTTTCAGCTTACGCGCAACAAGTTACTAACCAGAAAGCACCGCCACCCTATTATGCAGTTAGGAATTCAAATATGCATCTGGCAGGTAATTCTTTTTTTATTGTTTAGAATATGATATAAAGGTAGTTGAACGTCGATGTTATATTACAAGCAGTCAGTATCAACGAATAACAATGTCATAGAGTAATAACAATTTAATTTAAGTAGGTTAATTTAGTTAGAATCATATTATTTGGAAATTATTAAGAATTATCAATTATATAATACAAATATTAAAGTCCACCTCTGAACCTCAATTTTGCTATTAAACTATCCACCCGAAGTTCAATATTAATAGCGTAATTTCTTCTTCAAAAATCAACGGAGACAGAATATTAATTTTTTTGTGATCTAGTAACAAAAACTGTGTCGTAAACGGTCGTAGTTGAGGCCCTATTGATTTTTCATAATTACACTAACATAAGTAGAAGGGCAATTCTGCTAATCTCCAGAATCTGGAACCGGTACCTTACATTCTCCAAGAATTTAGTTGGAAGTATTTTTATAAGCGCACATATATGAGTGTCGTTTCTTATTAGGTAATAAGTTTTCTTTGTTCGCAATAAGGTAGACTTCCATTTCCAAAAAGTTTTCGTTTTAGGCGGATATCTTGTTGCCAGTATAATTAACCCTAGAGTGGGCACGCTATGAGCATTATGCTGCCCGCGCTGAAAAAATGTCAATAACACCGAAAGAATGGACGCCATCAGTGCACGGGAAACTCTTTGAGGAGAAGTATTTTAACATCAGGTGTCCCTAGGTGGCAAATTGCTCACCACGCGTCTACTAACTTAGTTAAAATGAACGCTCAAATGGTGTATGCGCTAGATTAAATGTCTGATTTTGAAGATACTAGTTCACAGTTTGTAGGCGAAAATAAACTAGAAAGTGATCGCTCTACTCATAATAGTGAGTATAATAACACTGACACAGAACTGTCAGCAGTCAACAGGGATACTGACAAGGAATAAACTTCTCCAATTGATGTTCCCTCTGAAATACCGCTATGCGATACCAGTGTACACTTGGTTATAGTTATAGTTATAGTTATAGTGAAGTTATAGCCGCTGACTAACTATTAGGGACCCTAATATATAACCATCTTCAACCTCGTCCTTGCAAATATACAAGACAACCAAGTGAAAAATCTGTAACACGTTGGTTCAGTGTGATGATGCTCTTTCGCACAGGAAATTCCGAAATGAAACGGGAATATTCTGTTGGAAGAATGACTCGCTGACAAATGAGGCTTTTTCCAATTTTGAATATTGATGATATAAACACTTATATTATTTAAAAAGCCAATAAGTTCTTGAAACAGATATTATTAAATAACAGATTTTAATAAATTCTAAGAAAATAAATTAATTCAATTGTTATATTTATACTTAGACTAGTCTTGAAATGCTCAATAAGAAATAGCGACAAAAAGCTCCCCACGCGCCCACTGACGTTACGCGAAGAGACGCGCCAACTCTAGGGTTAATTACATACTTACAACTAAGGCAGATTATGGCCACACGCAGACCCGAATTTAGCCAATTTAAGAATAGGACCCAGTTTTGCGGTTTTGGTACATAATCCTAATGCCACGCGGTAAAGAAATATATTATGCGTTAGTTACAACTCTTTGAAATCCCGAAATCTCAAATAGGAGTCAATGACCAAAACTATATGTCTGCATTTGCATATCACATCAAAACGTGACATAATAAAGTTTCAGTTGTGACATTACAACAGTTTTGACACTAGCTTAATGGAAGATTTAGAAAACAAGAAAATTTTATAATAGCTCCGTTTTTCAAATAATGCGAAGATGGAATCTCAATAAATAATTATTTCCAAACGAACTTTGAAATTTTTGGAACACAAGCGTTAATTATTCATTAAGGAGATGTAAGGACTCTGTTGATGAACACAATTGTTTGTAATTAATAATTCTTAATGATGTACATTTTCTCGAAAAATTACTCGTTAAGTATTCAACAAATTCTTCGTATTATTTTGCAATGATTACAAGAAATTTTGGCAAAATAAAATTACAAACAAAGTAAATTAATTCACATCACATTATTACGGGGGGGAATGAGACGACGACATGATATGACAAGTAAGAAGGTTATTTAACAAAAAGTGTAGGTATAACTGATAAAGACCACAATATGCGAGACACAGTTAATAGTATATTCCATAGAATGGAAGCACAACATATCGTGGAAATACTATAATGCTATGTCACTAGGACGTCTCAAAGTATCAAAAGCAATAGCGTGCTAAGTAGGAGGCCCTAAGACATAGTTGACGTTGATGGTCGATGACTTAATACAGTACAGAGCCATCTCTTGTCAAAAGATGGTACTTTTCATGTATGAGGTGCCTTGTAACATTTATTATTGAAGAGAAAAATAAGAATTTTCCATCTCTTTGCCGGATGCATTGTGATAGATAGGGACCGCTTTTTGGCTTAACTAATTCTCTTTAGAGTATGAGAAATAGAATTCTGTTATGCAACAAAAGTATATGTCGCACTATGACTGCAAATGTGACAAAAACTTTCATAAATGAGTTTTTTAACTATAGGCGTATGAATAAAATTTATCAAAGATGAAATCATTCTAACTATGAATTGATGAGTGTAACTGCAAATGCATAGGCAGTGAAGATGTAGAATATATTTAAAATCGGTGAGGAAGGTTGGTAAAGTTGGTAGATTATATGAAATAAAAACACTCACTATTATTTGTGTTACAGTGATTATGTACCATATATAAATGATAGATATAATACCTTATATTAATTATATAAAGATATACCTTATTGCTAACACATAATTATGATAGGTGAACAATTGTGGGTTGAATGCTAAGGAGGGCAAAACGGCAAACTGTATGGTTTACGTAAGTTAAACAAGATATAAGTTACAGCCCTTGAGTCCTGTAGCTAGATGATGAAATCAATGCCGTGTAATGTATATTACCATCACCACCTAAAGGTGCTGAAAACTGAAAATAGCGCGCTGCAATTAACTGCAACACTTGCCGAGTACACCACCTCAAATACACTCTATGATTGTCTATTGAAAAATCGCATGTGTATGTGTATGGGTTCAATAAATGATTTTACTTTTTGTATTTCTTATTTCATTATTAGTTGCTAAAACCTTTGTATATAAATTTATTAACATGAAATTTTCACCATCAGTGAACTCTAGTTCATCACCATCGTCTTCTTCGTCCTCACGACCAGTTACCAGTCCATTAGCCTCATCATCATCGAACACCAGTGGTGCGCAACCTCAAGTAAGTTTCTAATTAGTTAAGACTACATATTGGGGATTTGCTAATAAAGATGTAATTCTGTTGAGTGGTGAAAGCATTGAATTTTATAGATGACCATTTAAAGTGGGGTAACAGGAGCGAAGCGATCTTTTGCTGCCACTGCTACGCCTAACAGCAATAATATAATTTGAGTCAATATACTATTTCACACCAGTATATATCACGCGTATCTGCATGAGCGCTTACTAATTCAGCAAAAGGGGGATTGATGCTAAGTCTAGTGTTCTTCTTTTCTAATTTCAATTTATGATATATAGATTATTCTCGTATGCTGAACTGCAGGTTATTATGTAATAAAATAAACGATATACAGCGTTGTTATATTATGAAATAAAAACTTTATTAATTTTTGAAGTATGTCTTATTTAATTGAACTTCTACGCTGTAACAGTCGCCTGTGCTCAACATTGAGTTCGAGGGATATTTTTATTCCAGAATATCCGAAAACTTTCACAGGGGTCGGTAACGGGATGGCTGATCAAAAAAGAAAATATTGTCTTTAGCCATTCCGTGCTTGGGAAGGCACGTTAAGCCGTTGGTCTCGACTGCATTTGAAGATGTTAATACCCTCTAATCCACGTTGGGCTAGCGTAGAGGGTTATGGCCCATCCTTAAGTCGATGGCTAAGGAGGACGGTCTATCGATATGGAAGGCCTGCTTCTGTAGTGGGAAAAGAACCAGAAAAAGAACCAAAAAATATCATCTAATCGTTTGCTTAATTAGGATTGAGATTTTTTTTAATTATTCGGTATTCTATAGCTTGTTTATTATGTTTAAAATGTGTTCTAGGTGCCTAAATTATCTATGCAGTCCTCGGGATCTCTATATGTAATGTCACCGTCCAGTCAAGGAACCTTACAAGCCACTCAAATTATTTCCAAAGGTGAGATCATTAGGCTGGTCTAGAGGCGACAAAAAAATTTACAACTACCTACTCTCTACCACTTAGCTACTATTATAAGTTTTTGCCGAGGACGCCATTACGAATGTTTTAACTAATCTATGTATCATGATTAAGAATAATAAAGATAGACTCATACGTTGAGCGGCATATGTCAAAGGTATTGCTTATTTTTTCGCATTGGTTACAATTGCCGCAGTGTTAAATTTGACTTTTAAACTCCCTAAGACTCTGATATGTAAAAGAAAATTTATTATATTTAATTTTTTCCAGGTAGTGGACAAGTCGGTACACATGTTTAATGTTTAGGCATAAAGTTTTATCTCTGTCCATATAAATATATGTCGTACCAAATAAGATAAATCGTTACTATTCGTTGAAATATCACGAAGCTACGGAGACTATCTTCGAAGTCGTTTGAAGTGATTCTTGTAAAGGCTTAAATTTCTTATAATTAATGAAATCAGCCTAAAATTATGGAGCTTTAAAGATAAAAGTCAAAGTAAAATATGTTAGTTAATTATGAAAAATTGTAAGTCCTTTTTGAGTATAGTTCAAGCTAGGCATGACAATGTTTTATTAATTAAAAGTTATTGTTAGTTATTAAATAGCTTTTTTGAAAGATTATTAAAAAAATATAAATGGTAATACCTATGCAGGTATATAGATAGAGGGACTTGAAAATAATAGTTGTCATTCTAGACTTTTAAGAATTTTATAATTAATGTTTTTTTTAGATTAATTCATTTAGCATAAGGATTTCTAAAGGTTGGTTCAAACATTGATGTACTTATGTACGTTGCCATGTGTATTGAGTCTTATAATTATATCAACGGAGTTCAATATATGGATAAAACATATAGATTTAATGAAAAAAAATAAAAATCCTCCAGCCCCAGGTGGACCCCGAGATGGGGTTCGAACCTACAACCTTTCGCAATCCAGGCGCCTGCTCTAACATCTTAAGTTATCTGCAGCTGGCAGAAAATTTAAGCATTTTTCATCAAAGCTCAGTATAGCATTGTGATTGCAAAATTGATTAAAAATTAATTAGTACATGTAATTTCCAATAAATTTACATTATCTTTTTGAGTAAAGTACAAAAAAAAAAAAACAAAAATATTGATCACCATTGATGAACTGTCAAACTATCATCCTTATAATTGTTGTATCGTAGAAAAAAAAACGTATTAGACAAAATAAAATAATTGAAAAGCTATTCCAAAATTGTCGTCAGCTACACGGCTTTTGATTTTAGCCGTGTAGTTTAACACCAGAACTGAATTAATAATGATTGAATAACAGCCGCGTCATAATGCCGCGCAACATTTGAACCCGCCTTTAGAATTAGAAATTAAAATGTCGAAAATCTCATAGGATTCTAGATTCTACCTAAGACTGAACGCTAAAATTTCCTAGAAATTGTTAAGTGTATAAGTATTTGTATAAATTTTACTCTTAAAGAAATATTCTCTAATGCCTTGCTTTCTATAAGAAATTGTCTTTTTAAAGAAGTTTCTATTATTATTGTCAATTATACTTCATCTTCATTATCAACCTCATCACCGTTGTCATTATTGTCATCATCAGTTACTCATCACTTGAAAATTAATTTGTTATATACGCAATATGTATTTATCTACCATTTCTCAAACAACCGGTATCACAGTATTCTTTCTTCTCTATAATACATATCCATATTCATAGTAGCTCGGTGGCGTAGTGGATTAGCGCCGCGGCCCGCGATCGTAGTCGTTAAGCAACTTTCGCAAGGGTCGATCACGGGATGGGTGGCCAAAAAAAATATTATCTCGAGCTACTCCGTGCTTTGGAAGGCACGTTAAGCCGTCGGTCCCGGCTGCATTTGCAGTCGTTAATACCCTCCAATCCGCATTGGGCCAGCGTGGAGGGTCATGGCCCATCCTCCTTAACCATCCATAAGGAAGGCCTGAGCCCCTGCAGTGGGGACGTAAAAAGGGCTGGTGGTGATGATGGTGATGATTCATACAAACCTTTTTTATCATCAGCATATCGTTTCTCCTAATTAACGTCAATTATTGTTAACTGACGTCACCCAGTGCATAAACATCCATTAAAGTTTAATGAAGACTTTAAGCTCTAAGAAAATTTCTAGCGGTAATATCACTCTAAACTAATTACCGTTTAAATGAACGTTTATTCAGTTGGGGGTATAAAATATCATTTTCATAAAAATATATACGCGGAAATTAAAATATAAACAACTAAATTATATTGTGATATTATAAATTCAATTGTTACGGGATTTTCACAAAATTCACTTAATTTGTTTCAAATAAGTACACAGTAATTCTAAACTCTTTTTCAAAAGAAAAAAAGAAATACATTCTTACAACTATTTAAAGAAAGAAACGAGAAAGTTCTATTGTAAAAGGAGCTTTCGAAGTTTGCTTGTAACATAGATTTTTTTATTAACGATAAGTATCTCAAGTGTTTTAAGCCAATTCCAAAGGAAACGCTTTTGTAAATGCATCGTGTTTTTTTATAATGAATAATATTTGTGTAATTCTTATATCATTGTGTGTGATTTGACAGATTAGAATTTTAAGAACGATTTAGATGAATTAAATGAAATAAAAAGATTTTCACGAAAAGATTAAAGCCGTGAAATTAAAGTTTTTTAAAATATAAAAATGTGTTTCATTTATTTGTTTTATATTATTAAATAAATATAAATATGTGGTTTGTATGTATGTATAAACACAGCGAAAATTCGCGAATATGTGCATTAAGGTGAAAACATGACTCGCATGTGATACAATGTTAATATTCCCGCTGCTCCACCAGAAAGTAAAGTATATATATTTTTAGGGACTACTGACCGGAGGACTGGTAATAACAAAAAATTTCTTATGATGACCTTTGTGTCTAATAGTAGATATTGTAAACTAAAATGTTTACTATGATAAAATTGACTAGATGCATAAGTGCAAGCGCTACAACAATATGTTTGCGTACGAGTGAAAGGGTTAAGAAATGCCGGGTAATTGACCGAAATTCTCTCTGTTCGGCGACTGGACCTAATAGTTTATTACTAGCTCTTTGGTTGCAGCCAGTTCATCGAGATAAAAAATAATCTAGTTTATGAGTGAAATTACTCGTGAGTAAATGGAAAATGAAGACGCAAATTTAATGCGCAATTGTTAAACAAAAATTCTTTAAAAGTTCATAAATCAAAAGAAAAAATGATTTTATGCGCCCAATACGGGGCCTAAATACACATCAATAAAAACTACTTATAGAACGTGACGTCTAGTAAAGTCTCCTACGTTACCTGTTGGACAGGCTACGAACTGCTAGTTAATGAATGAATAGATAGTAATAATATATATTTGAAATGAAATGAGTTTCCCGGTTTTAAAGGATTCATAGAGTTGACAGGTTAGCTGAGTGGTTCTTAAAAGGTAATCCACAAAACATTGGTCCCATGAAGCAATCTATGTGGTCCGCGGCGCCTCATAAAAATATTGCTGTATAAAAATAATGAATCACATTTGATTTTAAATACTATTTTATATGTATTAACCAACGGGTTAGTAGGATATAAATATATGCACTCGTATTTATAGTTAAGAGAAGTAATTACTTGAGAAATTTTCATAAATTAAGCAGATATTTTTACCAAGTAAACAAGAATTTGAATGAATTAAAAACTCTGAACTATTAATAGTTAAAATACTTTAATGATTAGCTATTAACAGATATTTCTTCATGCAAATCTCGACTATTAGTTAAAAATATCTGTTTAAGTTATATCATGTTCTTCAGTTGTTACTTCTCTCGACTATACTTGTAACACCTACGCAAGGTAAGACATGCTGGTAGCCGTAAGCAAAGTTGTAGCACTCTATTTTGTCGTAGCGATATTGTAGAAACTTTTATCCTGTAACTACAGGATAAAAGTTTCAGACGTAACTTCGTTGAAGCTGTTAAACTTGTGTTATACGATTAATAATATTCTAACTATAAATTTCACCATAATCCTACATTTACCCAAAAAAGTCTTTTAAAATCTGCAAGCAAATTAATGTCCAGTATGAATAAGTTTGGATAGGATCTCTGGTAGAATTTCTATCCTTATTTAACTTACACAAATCGAATAGCATTCCATCACACGGCGGTCAAGGGAACACTGTTTGCATCACAACTCTCGGTCGGTCTATCGTCCAATGTAAACATAGATAGATTGCAATTGGGAGTTTGATTATGGAAATTGGATATTGCTTTGTCTTCAGACTTAGATGGTAAGCTTGAGCGAATGAAAACATATAAACGGTCATAGATTTCACTATTAATCCATTATAGATAGTTCAATAGGATAAACTTTCAACAGGATAAATTATTTCAATGGGTGTGATGAGAGAAAACTTTCATATGTAATCATGAAATAGTTTTACTCCTGCATAGTCTAAAACAAAGTTGCTTCATGCTGTCTATACGGTAAGACCATTTAAATTACACAATGGATTTTAACGCAGATTAAAAAATCCGTTTTATTATAATCTATTTTGTCTAGTCGCGGTCGTGGGTTCGAATCCCACATCAGATTAGCAGGAGCAAAGTGGCTTTTTAATCATTCCATTTGGTTCCTGGCACTCTAGTCGCGGTCGTGGGTTCGACTCCCATATCAGAGTAGCAGGAGGAAAGTGGATTTTTTAATTATTATTCATTAAGAATACAGAATTTATTTTTTAAGCATTATTAATTAAGAATATTGACTCCAACATCTGTTACTGGTAGACTGGCAGAGAATGCCTTTGGCATTAAGTCCGCCTATTGTGTTAAAATGCAATAAATAATAAATAAAATATTTTCCAGTGTAGCATTGTGAATGCAAAATTAACCAAAAATAAAATTATATACTCAAATACAAATAAATTTTCATTACTAGATACATACTAGATAAATTTGTTACAATGGTAAATCAAATAGTAAATATTGCTTACTATGGTAACATTTTGAGTCC